GCGCCCAGGCCGGGCTGCACAGAGCCTCGCTGGTGGACATCCGTCTGGTCAGCGCCAAGACAGGCTTCGGCCTGGAAGGGCTGGTCAGCCGTCTGCAGCGCTCCTGGAAGTGCGCTGGAGACGTTTATCTTCTGGGCGCCACCAACTCCGGCAAGTCCACGCTGTTCAACACGCTGCTGCGCTCCGACTACTGCAAGTCCCGTGCCCCCGACGTCATCGACAGGGCCACCGTGTCCTCCTGGCCAGGTTAGGGGCACCACTCTTCCCTTTGCAGTGGGGTGCTGGGGCTGCTGAAATCAAATAGCCCTGGGCCTCAAGGCTGCCCTCGGCCACCCCTGCGGCTGGAGAACGTGTCACCACAAGTGGGTCCCTGCCATGCTGAAGCACCACCATGGTGGGCAGCAAACTCCAGGGCTGCACCATGCTTGGAATTGTCATGTTTCTTAGAGCAGCAGGGGTGGGAGGTATGTGCTGAGGGTGTTGATGTTTTGTAGTAGTAAGAGGCTTGGTAGTAGTAAGAGGCTTGATACCAGAGCCAGCCTGCGTGCTCCTGTGCCAGAGGGGATGGTACCCCATCTGCATGCTTTGCCCTGCTCCTATCGATTAGGGGTGTTCTCCAGTTTAGAGGGACAGGCGTTGTTCTGGTGAGCACCTGTAAAATAATGCTAGGACAAACCAAGCTGCCTGGAGGTGATGCTTGCCTGGAATGTGTTCAGTCATGGCACCACTTGGTTTTGTGACCCTTTTATTCAAACTGCGGGTAAGAACAGGTCACAAGCAGATGGATGACCTGATTTTGCTGCCTCGACTTCAGAGGCTAGTACTTTAGGGGAGAAGCAGGTTGTTTTTTTTTCTTGTTCCTCACAGCTTGAATGTACCAGGTAGTCAGAGACCCAAACTGTTGGTTTTTTTTTACAGGAACAACATTGAACCTGTTGAAATTTCCAATTATTAATCCTACATGTGACAGGATATTCCGAAGGCAGGAGAGGCTAAAAGAGGAGGCAACAAAAACAGAAGATCAGCTAAGCATTGAAGAAAAAAAGCACCTTAATCACCTTAAAAAGCAAGGTTACTTGGTGGGTGAGTATTGCCTGGGTAAAGGTATTGCTTCTCTGCCTCAGTGAAAATACTGTATTACACAAGGGACTGATAACTCCTTAGTTCGCTGTAGAATCTAGCTGGTTTTTTGCAAGTAATTTCTTCCTACTCTGAAAGAACTCATTTCCATTTATTAAAAGAACATGCTGTCTGTAGTAGCAATAACAAATTTCCAAACTTACATTATTTTTACCAGTGTTTACTCCTGGAGTAATGAATAGAAGACTGCTATCTCCTTCATAAGCAGCATCATTAAGACTTCTTCTGAGTACTTACTTGTCAGTTGCAGTATTGCAGGGGTTTCCCCTGTGCAATGCACCTCCCATCTGAATTAGGCTAGCATATTCTGATAGCTTGGTAGTTTACAAGGATATCACATCTCTCATCCCCAAAAGATGAAAGCAAGTTTAATTAAAAAAAAAAAAATCACATTTTGGCTGCAGGCGACAGGGTTTGCATATCGTTTTAGGATGTATCCAAAAGAGGAGGTTGCCAGAAGGTCGCTCTGATTTTCAGATAATTTTATGTTTGGCACTCTGAGGTACTGAGAAAAGGGCAGCCTGCTTTACTGTAAAATGGAAGTAACAGAGTATCTGTGGTCTGGTGCCTGCTCAGATCCTGGGGCTTGAGAGCTAAGCAAGAATTATAGAAGGGATTTCTTACCATTTGGCTTTTTATCACCTTTATGTTACTGATGTGCATCTCTTTTAAGCCAGGAAAGGGGCAGGTGTTTGATTGAAGGAAAGACAAGTTAACAAGTGGAAACCTTTCATTTTAATCTAGGAAGAGTTGGAAGAACATTTCAACGGCAGAGGTCTAGCCTTGTGGTTGACTTTGACCCTGATGTGCTCTCCTACAGCATAGATGAAGATCCTAGACATTCCCCTAAGAAGCACAAGGAAAGGGAGGAGTTCACACACAATGAAGTGAAGGACGCTCGCTGGTGTTTTGACACTCCAGGAATTGTAAAGGAAGACTGTGTAGGTACTCTGTGGTGCTGTGTTTCGGGATGATAGGGTTTGGGAGGACTGTTCTGCCTTAGCTGTGCCTGTGGGAGAGTATTTCTGCTGCAGTCCTGGGATTAGGATTTTTTAAAATGTTAAGATACAGTTTGTGTTTACTTAGGAAGGGTTTGTTGTGGTAATGCTGTTGCATTTCTGAGTAGTGCATACAGCCATATTTGCAAAAGAGCTGTAGAACTTGTATAACCTCTGAAGGAAGGGAAGTAGGCAGTAGTGCTCTAAGCCAATCTATACCAGCATCATCTGATGAAGCTGGTGCTTTTTAGCTCTACTAGCCTACTGAAAGGTGGAACTTAGGAGGATCATCAGTGTTGTATGACTGAACCAAACCTTAGAGAAAGCATTCTCCTGAAGCGAACAGGATCTGTGGTGTTCCTGTTAATGGCTCCAATATGCCCAGCCTACATCAGTGTTTCAGTAGATCACTCATCCAAAACAGCCACATTGTGATTTATGATCACTGATACCCATGCAGAGCTGCAGGTCATCTTTTGGGGAAGGTTAAAAAGTACAGGTAGATAGGAAAGTTCAGAAGAGAATGAAGTGCAAGAACTGAACAGCTCAAGTGCAGGTGCTGCTTTCATGAATGCTAGAAAACTACTGGTTTTTCTATTGATGTGTTTGCCAGACCATAACCTACTTCACTGTGATGCTTTGCTCTCTGATAGCCAGTGTAAAGACAGACAGCTTAGAGACCTGATTTCATAACTTGAGATTGTGTATATTCTTCCTCTTTTCTGGAGTTGAATATGTGTGGGAAAACAAGAGGACTTTGCTGCATGCATAAATACTTGCTGCTGTTTCTGATTTTGACTATTCTTGCTGTGTCTTTGGAGAGCTACATGCCAAGTTTCAGATCAAAGTTTGTTCCTGCAGTCAGCATTCAATCTGAGTAAAGGACAAGCAGATTGTCTATGTGGCAGCTATTGGCAGGGGAGATTTCTATTTATAACCAGGTTTTAGGTTATGTTATTTTGGAAGAAAAGGGAAGGAAAGTGGCTGTTAGCGTTTTATGGAATTAAATTTTTATCCTTATTCCTTGGAAATTTGGTTTTAGCTGCTTCTTCATGACTCCTTACAAACTTCTGGAAAGCCTAGAAAAGGATTACCGATAACTCAAGTATTTGTTCAAACTTTGTCAAATACATCAGAAAACCTGCAGCTAGTAGGTCAAAGCCTTCTCATCTTTTAGCATTAGTGTTGAAGTCTGCCCTGACTTTGAAGCTGTAGAATGTCTGCTTGTGAGCACAGGAAGAGCATTAGGGGTTCTGGCTGCACCACAGCCCTTGTTAGTTTGGTCTTTTAAAGCTGAATTGAGGTTAATCCTCATGTCCAGCCTGATCTGAATTTGGATTTGCATGACTGTGGCACATGTTTGTGGCACATCTGGAAACATTTCTGCTGTTGCCTCCCTGTGTTTACTAAAGAGATACCATCAGCTTAGAGACTCATTGTTTCTTTCAAGGCACTGCTTTCTGTGCCTGCACAGTGTTTCATAACTGGGTTTGAAAAGTGCTTCTGTAGAAAGTGATCAGACTGCTGTGGCTGCAGCACTACTGGCTAAGTCACTGGCTGTTAAGTAGACTTTGGAGTGGATCGTTTCAGTGAAACAAATTAACACCTCAACAGGTGAGCCAGGAGATGGACAGGAAGAGGGAAGAGAGGAAGACAGGGCAGCAGGAACATTTGTGAGCCGTCAAAGAGGGGAGAGCTTGTTTCACTGTGCTCAGGGTACAGATCCATGCTGTGTGTCAGGCTTGTCATCCTGCAGTTGGAGTTGTTCCATAGTGTGATTCAGGACTTTTTACTAGTGAGATACTTTGAGCCTGCTGGATTCAGTACTTTGTCACTACCTAAGAGGAGTAACTCAAATGTTACTCCAAATAAACATGGTCTCCAGTTCTGCATGGCTGCACTTGTGCTAAAGCACGGTAGATCTTGGTTGAGCTTGTTCCAGCCAGACCCTGCATTCCCACATTCAGGTCCAACAGGCTGATGACAGCTGTTTCACTTTGTTGTGGACTCTGCATTGTCATGGAGATTGGTGACATCTTCCTGCTTATCAGCTTACTGTGTGGACCAGAATCGAGCTGTTCTGTCAGATGTTCTTCATGCTGCTTTACTTGGTCTTCTTTCTCTGTCCATATAATGCCAATATGAGTTCCATTGTTCCCAGTAAAACATCTGGAATGAGTTATGGCAGTGCAATTTTATTTTGCAGGTTTTGAATCTTCTGACAGAGAAGGAAGTAAAGCTGGTTTTGCCAACACAGGCGATCGTTCCACGGACCTTCATTCTCCAGCCAGGAATGGTCTTGTTTTTAGCAGCCTTGGGACGTGTAGACTACTTACAGGTAAGGGAAGAAAGGATTTTGGGAGCATCTGCTTCATTCTTACTGTAGTACCAGATGATAAATAGCTTTCTGGGTAGGTTTCCCAGACCATCATCATCAGATGATGAATCTGTTAAATCACTGCATAAAGTCAGAATGCCTTTGGATGGGGAGTGGTAGTCGAAAGGTTTGATACCTTTTTCCAGCGTGCAGCATTTTATAGTGTATAATGGCAACTGCTTTTGAATGCTAACAAACACCTTTAGCTTAATGTGCTTCCCATAACACACAGAGGCACAAGGCAGGGAGGGAGTGAGGAAAGAGAATGACAGAATTAACTGCGAAAATATGTGAGTTTCCTCATTTCTGTGTTTTGTGAAAGCTGCCTGCCAAGAGAGAAAAGCATGGACATTTTTCCTTTCCTGACACAGGCCTCTGAAGAACTTGCATTTTAGTTTCTGTAAAAATATTTTTGGAAGATGCTGTGTGTGTCCGCAGCCAATAATTTCTTCCATTTATTAGAAATCCTATGCTACACATTTATTGAACTGTTGACCTCCCACAATGTTTCCTCTGGAAGGGGCTGTTTTTTCCAGATAGGCATTATCATAACTGCTAGATCCTTTTCTCAGTAGTTTGCCAATTTTGGAGGTGTATATGGTTATTCCTCTGTTTCAGTCAGGTTTCCAAGACCACCATAAACATGTTGAATTGGTACTTTGTTAAGAGATCATTCTTGACGTGCTGGAGAAAAATGAGAAAGGTGGAGGGGGCAGGATTCTGTAAGTAATAATGTACCTGCATGGCAGGGGAGCTTCATCATAGTTAAGGTGAGAGTCCAGAGCCCTGTCCTGAAACCAGCTTGACAGTACACTCAGAAAAAACAGTTTGTGAGGAGCACAACCGAGCAAAAAATCTCCTTATCTTGGGTAAAGCTCTTAGAAAAGAGCTTCCTAGACAGGTTTGTTGGGTGCTATTAGGGACTCAAGAAAGTGCCTGGATTTGCATCCCTGGGAAAGTAGGACAGTGATACAGATGACATCTTGCTGGCAGTACACACCCTCTGCAGAAACACTTTGAGATTAGCAGCACAGGGCTTCAAGGGATTGTCTTGCCACATGAGCTTTGTTCTTGGGAGCTGTGGAAAACACAGCTGGTGATAGCAGCCTAGGGAGCCTGGTAAGGGCAAAGAAGTGTCACACCATCTCCTGATGAGAGGCTCAGGCTCAGAAACATGTCCAGTGAGTGCAGCAAGGCTAGCAGTTGGGCTTTGTGCTATACGCCTGTTCTCCATGTGATGGTGGTTCTAGCAAGCCGTTCAAGTTTGAGGCCCTGCAGGTCCTCAGTGTCTGTTTCAGCACATTGATGTATCAGTCTTGTGTTTCGGTAACCTCCTGAGATCTTGGAGGACAGTTGTGCTCAGATCATGACAGGAGACACTGCCACAGGTTAGACCTTAGATGAACTTGAAGGAATTGCTGCACTTGAGTTTCCTTATTTCATGCTGCTAGCAGTTTTTGTAGAGATCTCTCCCCTCTCTAACCTTGTCTGATCTGCTTGCAAATGTGGTGAGAGTGCCTGATGAAATTGTTCCATGTTGAGTCTTTGCATACCTTGGAAGTAAATATGAGAGGTATGTGTTAGAAATGCAAAGTGATAGGAGAAGGAGCACCAGATGAGATGTCCATCACCTTTCATTCTGAATAACCATGCCGAGTTTGTTCTTGGGAATTAAACAAGAAAAAAGATCTCTCTTGGATGATTTGCCTGAGTTGAGCAGCTGTGATGGCAGGAGATGTGGTGTTGGGCATGCTTTGAGGCAGGATGGTGAAGCTGTGTGTGCTTCCCTTCTGGAAGCTGAGCTCCCCAGATTATATAAACCCTGGCTGCTCTGCAGTGGCAGAGACAAGGACCCCTCAGACAGGAGGGGACATCAGACAAACACGTTTTCAATATGCAGGAAAGAAATGGGGCAGGAGAGAGCAATTCAGGGTTGCTTTTCATAATTAACATCCTCTTGTTACTTATTTCAGGGAAAAAAGCCTGCATGGTTTTCTGTAGTGGCTTCTAACCTGCTGCCAGTCCATGTTACTACCTTGAGTAATGCAGATACCATCTATGAGAAGCACACTGGCCAGGAGTTCCTAAAGGTGAGTAGAGGAGCTGTGGGGGCTCTTGGCTGCAGGTAGGCAGGCTGTCCCACCTGGTGAAAACCCCTGTATGGGGCACAATTGACAGGAAAAGTCCACACATACCAGGAGTTTGGGACTTCTGCAGTGGGTGAGTGGAGATCTGCAGTGTGTAGCCATCTTGTACAGACTGCATGGCTGCAGGTGTGTTAAGAGGGAGCACTCAAGATGATGGGTTTTCAGCAGAGGTTCTATGTCTAGCATTCAGAGTGATAAGATTTGCAGTGTTCTGCCCTCTGATACTTGGCTCTTCTTGAACAGCCTTAAAATGCAGGCAGCATCAGGGATATTTTCCATGGCAAACCTTCAGACTGGGGTTTCAGAACAGGTTGCAGTTGAAAAATGTACCTTTCTTATTCTTTCCCTGCTGGATCTTCTGCACATCTGTTCATCTCTTGGTGGTCTGACTTTTTCCTTGGTATTTCAACATACTGTGTAGCACTTGCAGATTGATGATAGACAAGGTGAGCTGTCCTTGTTCTGGCAGCTCCATTCCTGTGCACATGTAGAACAAGTGCTGTCACTGACATCAGGGCAGCTGGCTTGGGCCACTATCTGAGTCCTACAGTGGGCACTCCATCTTTGCTCATGTCCCATGGGGTTGCTCTGGATGTGATCCTGATTCTGTTCTGTCAAACCTGAAATAACTCCTGTAATGTATTCAAGCTTGCTCTTAATTGGCTAACAAGCATCTAATATCTTTATTCCCCCTTGTGCTTTGCATGCCAGTTAAAGTAGGAGTGCTGAAGCATCTCTTGACTGTTAAATCTTTTCTCTGTGTTTTGATCTTAGGTTCCCATGGGTGGGGAAGAGCGAATGAAAGAGTTTCCCCCACTTGTCCCTCAGGACATTACACTGAAAGGAATTGGTACCACTGAGGCGGTTGCAGATATCAAGCTTTCCTCGGCAGGTAATTCAGTATTTCTTAATGAGTTTGCTTTGCAGGGTCTGCATCCTAGAAACACTAATGGGAAGAGGCCTCTGAGGGGGTGAAGACATATTTCCTGCTCAGAGCAGGGCTGTCAACACCACAAAATCAGAGCAGCCAGCTCAGTTCAGGTGAGGCTTGGCAACCTCCAAGAATAGAGGTTGACAGCCGTGCTTGTACAGGATGGCAACTTTATGCTCTGGCTGCTATACAAGTTCCATAGCATCAGGAGTGGCTGTGACACTGTCAGCGGTCCATGAAAGAGCTGTGTCTGGGGAGAGTAAGATGTGGGTGCTGCCTTCTGTTGGGAAAGGGCTGGGTATTACCTTTGAGCTTGGTTTCTCAAAGAGGTCACACCTGGGTAGCTCAGGTTCTTACCCACTATGGGAGGCAGTAGTTTGTGTCAGAACCCTTGTTCTGATTCTAGTGACTTGTTCTGCTCACTGTGTTCTTTTTGGCTGTGCAGGATGGGTGGCAGTGACAGCTCATGCAGAAGAGGAACTGCTGCTCCGAGCCTATACTCCCAAGGGCACTGCGTTGGTGGTGCGGAGTCCTCCCCTTTTGCCATACATCAGTACCATCAGAGGGGCCCGGATCGCAGGCACTGCTGCCTACAGGACCAAAAAGCCTCCCTCCTTTGTGGAAAACCTGAAAACCATGGGAAACAGATAACACTTATCATCTGAGCAAGGTAGAACAGCCTCTGGAGAAACTTACTGCTTATGGATGTTCAGAAGACCTTGTACTCCTTTTTAAAGGCAGACAGGCACATTTTGGAAAGCAAGCCTGGGAGGAGCTCCACAGGTCCACACCTGATCCAGTTGCTGAACTGCAGCTGTTTTGAATGAGCTGATGGGCAGGTACCTTGCTGTGAGAGGTGAAACAGCTTGTCCCTGGGATCTACCAGTATCTACAAGCAAATCCCTTTACCTGTTGCCTCTTGAAATATGGGATGGAAACTCACCTGTCTGACCTGGGCTGGCTCTAGAGTAGGTGTTCTCTTGCACACATGGTCCCTCAGTTTAGGAATTGTCACCTTGTTTTTGGAGGCTTTAAAGTGATTCTGCAGTTAAGGAAGTGGAGGGAGTGGGAAGGAGCAGGGAATGCTCTGCTGTGAGTATAACTTTCTTAGTGGCTGATTTGACAACATTGACCAAAAATTGGGTCCTTTCACTCCTTCAACATCTGGGGCAGATGAGGGTGTGCAGTGCCCTGCTTTTGGACACAGGAAATGGGAATTAATGAAAAGCAAGTATGCTTGTATGCATGAAGAGGAAACTTTTGCAACTTACTGGTTTGATTTGTTTTTTTGTAGCTTGTGTAAAGGCTTTTGAAACTGAGGGTGTAGAATCAAACTTTTCAAAGGCACTCTTGTATCCTTTTTGAATAGTCGACAAACCATTCTTGCTTGTGTGGGCACCTTGCTAAACATGTGAAAACTCCAGCGCAATAATAAATGTGCTAAATCTGCCAAAGACAGGCAGAGAGTGAGAGACATAACTGGCCAATCTGCTGAAAAAGAGGCAAGAAAGACCTTATCACTTTTCCCATTTTACCTGTTGTGGTTTAACCCCAGCCAGCAGCCAAGAACCATGAAGCTGCTCACCCTCCTCCCCCTTTCCCCCCTCAACATGGAGGAATGGGGAGGAGAAAATAAAATAAAATATGTAGGTTGAGATAAGAACAGTTTAATAATAAAGAGCAGAATGAGCTAAAATGCTAACAGATACTAAAAAGGAAGTGAAAGGAAAAAACAAAAAATAAAATCAGTGAAGCACAATGCAATTGCTCACCACCCGCGGATTGATGCAGTGCTGTCCCTTCCCCCGGATCAGCCCTTCCTGCTTATATACTGGGCATGACATGCCATGGTGTGGAATATCCCTTTGGTTAGTTCAGCTCACCTGTCCCGGCTATGTTCGCTCCCAGTTTTTCGTGTGTACCTTCTCACTGGCAGAGCATGAGACACAAGAAAGAAAATGTCCTTGATTTATGATAAACACAGCTTAGCAGAAACCAAAACATCACTGCACTATACTAGCTACTGAGAGAAAAAAAGCTGACTCCATCCTGGCTAAAACCAGCACACCTGTCTGCTTTAGCTTGAAGTGGGGAACTCTGTTAGCAATCATACCTAAAATACATACTGCGACCCATCCATAGGGGACACGATGCTCACTGCAAATCCCTCATCAGGCTGAACAGACACTAGACACGTGTCAGAGAGCTCTTATGCTTTTATTGCATGTATAGTTGCCTTAACTCTGGCAACTAGCCCACTAATTAGACTGAAAAGGTGTTGGCTACAAAGCCCTTAAATCTTACCCACCACTTATAAGAAGTGTATTGTAACAAGCCTTTAATTTTGTACAGTACACTTCAGTAAGCTCTCAACTCCCACAACAGACTTTTCAAAGGTGCTGGTTAACAAGCCACAACACACTCCCACAAGCTCCCACCTCCCACAACAAGCTTCAGTATAGACTATGGGATAGAACATGATAGCCGTGCTTTGTCCAGGTGAACTATGGGAGGAGAGAAATAAAGGTAGAAAAGAGAGAAACAACAAAATATATCATCAGTCCTTAGATCCCGTGTTGATCCTGCCTGGTCTGGATCTGGGTTAGTGAGACAGAAAGAGTGGAAAAAGAGCGAGGGGGCTTTTATAGTTGACTTGGTGCAGCCTGTTAGGTAAACTAGATTTCTTGGCCATTTTTGTTCATGCATGCACAGACAGCCCTTTGAGCTCTCCTCCAAGAAGAGAGTTGGGATGGGGGACTGAGCAGGAGTCTCAAGGCAGGACAGGAGGTTGGCTCAGTGCAGTGCTGCCTCACCTCTGTGGGACCCTCTCTTCTGATCACAGCTTCCCTGTCACAGCAGAGTGTCTGAGGCAAAAACATGCTTATGTCTGGTCCTCCACAGCAGTGAGGTGAAATCTTTGGATCTGGAGCCTTTGTCCTTAGGACAGATTTCAACTTCCCAGACACTAGCTGGGAATATCATTCTGCTGTGTTAAGTAGGTTTGGGAAGTACCCAAAATTGTGGGAGAAAACTTGTCACAAGTACTCAGGGGGCCAACTGGAAAAGATGGTGTCCTAGACTTGCAAGTTGGGAATGGAGGAGGACTGGTGAGAGATGGGATTGCCTTGGCCACAGTGCTCCTGAAATGCCTGAGTTTAAAATTCTTGCTAGCAAGTGCCTTTCCTAGTTGGCTTACTCACCATCTGTGTCAGGAAGTTATCTGCAGTACACTCCAGTAACCTTTTGGTATATTTCCTCTCTGCTCTACTGCATTTCCAGCAGTACAGACATCCCCACCTTGTTCGATTCCACTTGCAGAGCCTTGCCCCTTTTATACGTGGGCATTTTTGGGATGGAGCACTCACAGAGGAGATGTACTGGCTGCACTGGGCAGGAACTTGTCACTGTTGCCACCCCTCCCTTGAGTCACCATGTTCTGCCAGGTCGAGGAGGGGATAGCAAATCCTCCTCATCGTGTGTGCTGTCTCCCTGTCACGCCTGTCTCAGTGAGGGTAGGTGTGATTCCAGAAGTCCTCTTTCCCCTGGACTCCTCGATACTCCTCAACCTACTCAACTCCCTCAGCTCTGGGACTAATCAGAGGTGTTCCTGGGTGTGCTCACAGCTGTGCTCACTGCTGCCATCCAGCGTGGGCCTAAGAGCGGGGCACAGCCTGCAGCCCACACCTGGGTGGCAGCGTGATCCCACCAGACTTCTGCCTGGGCAGCTGCATCAGTTGTGGTGGGTGCAGAGCTTAGAGAGGCTTTCTGCTGGTTGGGTACCATTGCTTCCTGGTCGAGCTGGCAGAACTTCAGCGCCCTTCTGGCATGCCCTTCTACACCATCTGCCTCAGCATGACCTGTTTGCCTGCCCTGGCTGCTGGTGCTTCCCAGGGGCTTCTTTTGGGTGTGGGGGGATAGACGCTTGGCTGCAGTTGCTCCTGGCACACCCAGGTCCTGTCAGCCACTGTTCTGTGAGCTGCAAGCTCCTGGCAACTCTCTTGACTCCCCCTGGGGTTCCCCTGGTTCAAGAAACTGGAGCTGCTCACCTCAGCATGTTATTTGGGCATCTGAAAAATCAGGCCTCTGTGCTCCCAAGCAAATCAGGAACGGTTAATTCATGCTTCACTGTGGTAACTCAAGGAGCATTGCCTCCATCTGCTGCCTCAGCTGAAGATACCAGGACACACAACATGTATGAGGGCAGCACTAAGGACAGCTGCATCTTTCAGAAATGAATGAATAAACGACAAAATGCACACTGAAACTACTTGCTTCCCTTCCAAATCACCTGACTAGTCAAGCACAATCCTCAGGCAGATGTCATGGACATCCTTGAAGGAAGAACTGGAGAAGATTGTGCATGGACTAAAATACAGAAGGTAAAAACTTGCAGCAAAGGGCTGGAGAAGATATTGTTCCTTGGGGGTGGAAATGTCCACCTGAGTCATATCTGTTCAAAAGGTAGAAAAGAAAGGAGGTGCCGTTTGAAAGCTCTTTGCACTCTTGTTAGTGCTCAGGCACTAACCACAAAGATGTGTTATTTGCCATAGCCCCTATGGTTGAACTTTGTCCATATTAATAGTCTCAAGGAGTTACTGAATGCCAGATAAATAATAAACAAACCAACAATCTGAATAGCTTATTATTGGCTGATGATTATACTTCTCTTCCATTTTCATCACATGGAGTACGGTGCTAACTGGGTATGTGGGTAGTTATTAGGGAATAAAATGTAGCTCAGCAAATTAGGTCTCTTAATCGAGCTCCAGTGAGGCTTTGGTGATGTGAAAAGACATGGAAATGCCTTCCTGGAGCCTTTGCACAGCAACCAGTCAATTTAATTCTTAAATGATTTGTGAAATGCAGGGTGTCTTGGGTTGGTTCTCTGTACCCACGAATCTGACCCGATGGAATTATAAGAGGTCAAGCTGGGATGTAATAGGAGCATCACACAGTTTTACACAGTCTTTCAAACAAGAGCAAACCCCAGCTCCAGGCATTCACCACCATCAATATCCATATGTGTTTAGCTGTGTTAATCCTCAGGATGCCATGAACTTTGAATTTTACCTTCACAAAGGAGGAAAAATAACCCCACCATTTTTTTTATGTTTAAGGAAAAGATTCTAGAAACCTTTTTTTTTTCTCAGAGATCGTTTTTTAAGTGACTTTTGTGGTGGTGACGGAAGTGCCATATTTATCTGAACTGATAGAACACACAGAGCAAACCAACCTCTGTACAAACTCTGCCCATTCTTTTTGAGCAGGCCACAGATTTAGCAAGTTCCTTCCTTGACTTGCTCATAGCTAAATGAGAGAACCATAGTGCTTTCTGCATTTCTTCAAGACTGGATATCTTGAATGTTTTTAACTCGGCAACAGAGTAACCAACTTTTTTATGTATCTAGAAACAGCATGTAAGAATAACTTACATTGTTCAGTTTATGACAAAGCAAGAATACTGACAAGAATACAAAAGAATAATGAGACAGGGACCTCTGTTTGCATCTTGAACAAATGTACCAATCCAAACTTCTTCCTGAATGTGTTATATGCATCAGATAGTGGTGAGAGAGAAAGAATATCAAGATCTGCCTGAGCTGACAGGTAAATATCACAACCAAAAACCAGGCTGAAGATACTTTCAATTA